AAGATTTTTCCTAGTAAAGGCTTAGTTTTCTTGTAGTGTTGGGAGGACGTTTTATCATCTTGAAAACATTATTATTTTAAGTAGATGATGATGAATAATAGAAATTTGTAATGAATATAGTTTATAGGGGTTCAAGGCTTGAAAATTACATCACAAAGTCATGAATTTAGTTTATAGGGTTTTAAAGACTCAAATTGCATCACATAGTCAGCGTTTGGTTATTGTGTTGATCGCTTCTATGACTTATTTATTTTTATCGCTTAAATGATTAGGAAATTCTAGGCTAGTAGATCGGCACATCCTAAAAACGAGATCCAAACTATTTTAAATTTAATCTTCTTTGGGAAGGAGATCCCTACCAATGGGACTGGAGCCTATGATTCTTTTTAGACACCTATAAGATAATTTAAGCGCTTAAGTTCACTATACCAACTTCCCATTGTTTTTATAAGATTTATTTATTGAGTCTTAACAAAAATGACGGTGTTCCAGCTTAATAGCCTTAAGAACCCTCATGATTATAAATCTACTATATATAATCAGTGTAGTTCATTGTCACGATTTATTGTTATGCACCACTCAAGACAATAAGGTTGTAGGGAATACTAAGGAAACATGTGCATTCAATGAAGAAATATTCACAAAAAATTGATTGTATACTTTCAGTAAATCCTACTCATGAAACAAGTACAAAATTTGAGGCTAGATCCATCATTTTATTTTCATCGTATATCAATGTGGTTGATGTCAACCTTTTTCTATCGTAAGCATTGTGATAGGATCAATGTGTTGGTCAAACATGAACATAAAGTTATAGTGTGTCGTGGTAAATGTGGAGGAGTCTCCAACAAATTTTTACTTCTTACCCATTATTGAAGATGATACACACGTGTTCTAAGATGGAAAGAAGAAATCTGTAGAAGGCATTTTGGAAGTTTTTAAGAAGTTTGAAACAATGTCGGGTCTGAACATTAGCCTTGAGAAGTCTACTCTTTTTCTAGCTGGGGTTAAGGAAGATGACAAAATAGCTATTCTGGATCAATTTCCCTTCGATAAAGGTTCTCTCCCGGTTAGATATCTTGGTCTTCCCCTTAAGCGGATGAATGTTCATGATTATAGTCCTTTACTCTCAAGAATTCGAAATCGTATCTCCTCTTGGACTGCAAGGCATCTTTCTTTTGCTGGCCGACTCCAACTTATTGGTTCTGTTCTCTATAGCATAACAAATTTTTGGATGCCAGCATATAGGCTTCTGAATCAGTGTATCCAGGAAATTAACAGCATCTGCGCTGCTTTTCTGTGGTCTGGTCCTGCTCTTTCAACTCAGAAAGCTAAAGTGGCTTGGGAGGTGTTTGTAAGCCAAAAGATGAGGGTGGGTTAGGCCTAAAAAATCTATTGGATGTAAACAGAGTTTCCTGCTTGAAATTAATTTGGCGTATTTTATCTGCAAGGTCTTCTCTTTGGGTTTAGTGGATATGGAAGTACCTCATCATGAAAGGTTCCTTTTGGAACGCAAAAGAGAAGAGTAACCTTGTCTCGTGGATGTGGAAAAATCTTTTGAATCTGAGACCTGTTGGCTATGCAATTAACTAAGAAAGAGATTAATAGTGGATCCACCACCTCTTTCTAGTATGAGAATTGGTCGTCCTTGGTAAACTAATTGAGCTTACTGGAGAAAGAGGTTGTATGGGCCTGGGAATTCCTATGAATTCTACGGTGGAGAGTGCTGTTCAAATGTATCGAGTTAGACGACATCGAGTCCATCATCTCATATTGGTAGATAGGGAGATTATGGTTCTCAAAAATAAGGGTCTCAATCAAATGAATGATGTTTGTCTTTGGAAAAGGGATAATGGGGATTTCAGAGCGGGTTTCATTACTTCTCACACTTGGAACCTTATTAGAAAACCATCTCCAAAGGTGACTTGGTTTAAAGGAGTATTATTTATGGGAGCAACTCCGAGATTTTCTTTTCTTGCCTGGCTTGCTATTCGTGACAGGTTAGCAACAGGGGATAGAATCATCAGATGGAACCCTCAAGCCATATCCACTTGTTGGCTGTGTAATTCTGAGGTAGAGACAAGGGATCATCTTTTTTTTGAATGCACTTACTCTAAGGAAGTCTGGATGGGGACTGTTAAGAATTTGGCAGGGCATAGTAGTACCTATAAATGGTTAAGAGTGATTCAGATTGTTGAAAAGGGTTTGCAAGGGAGAAGCTCAACATTTCTGTTGCGCTATTGTTTCCAAGCAGTGGCTTATGCTCTTTGGCAGGAAAGGAATGTGAGAAGAAAAAGAGAAGCTTCTCAGCCAGCTAGGTGCTTAATGGCTCGCTTAGACAAGTTGATCAGAAATAGAATTACCTCTCTGCAAAGGAAACCGGGTAGGAAGTTTGAGAAAACCATGGCTCTTTGGTTTGAGAGTAGATAAGTTGAGTGGTTTGGCGTGGAGGTTTCTTGCGGTTGGTTTGGAGGATTTGTTTTATGGTCTCTGCAGCTTTGGTTGTCTGTTTTGTTTGTCCTCTCTGCACTCCTCTGATCATAGGATGATTACTCTTTTTCCTTATCAAAGGTTTGTCCCAATTGGGTTTACTTTGGTAAGGTTTTAGTGAGGATTATCTTATGATCCTTCCAAATTTGACTTGTCTCACATGGTTAAATTTGAGGAGGGGTGTTGAGATGGATATTTGAGCTTTTAGTTTTGGTTTAATTTGAGAATATTTAGTAGGTTTGAGCTTATGTTTTGCTCTTTTACTTTGAAAGCACTCTTGTGTAACAATGTTTTTTTTGTTTGAATAAATTTAAAATTCTTTTTTTTTTTAAAAAAAAAAGAAGATGATACACACATAAGAGATAATCATACATGGTTTATATGGCCACTTGTTGAAGTTTGTTCAAAGTATCCTTGATACTCAATTTTAAGAAGATACATGTTTTATTTGATCAAGTCATACACATGTTTCCTAATAATCAAGTCAGTCTTGGTCTATTTGATATATATTATAATAAAGCAAAACCAACTACAACACTTTATGTTAGTTATATGATATATAATCCAATCTTTTCTGCTTGCCGTCTACATTCGCCACGAAGGAATCATGAGTGTTATGATTGATTTCGTCTAAAAGGATGGATTTGTGGCCACTCATTCTTTTCATGCAACTAGTGAAGAGATGCACAAGATATTTCTAACTGATATACGATTTGGAAATCCCGACCGCTACGATCATAACACACTCATGAAATGAAAAGAAGAAAACAATGAAGTCAAGCTTGTCCCAATTGATCACAAACTTTGTTTAACGCAAAGATAAAGATTTAGTTCCCTTAATATTGTTGTTGACGATTTTTAGTTTTCATTGTTATTGCATTACAACCTAGAAGTCTTTTGGCGGTTAGTAGCATATGAAGTTAATAAGTAGAAGAGTTGTGAGGTTAACACTTTTTCTCCACATATGTTCTCAATTATGTAAAAGACTTTGACCCTGTATAAGACTTTCAATTTTTTGGTGTTGGGAGGCTGAACAAGAACTTTCAGCTCTATTTACCATATTTATAACTCTTATAAGAAGGCAGTTTCGCTAGGACTAAAACTCCCCATATCCGGAGGATTGCAACACGACATTGCAAACATGATGAGTTAAACATCCAAAATATGGTTGATAATATCTTTCGTGATGACAACTTTGTGAAACACTTGTGTTATGTCATAGATAATTGCCTCCTTGATTATTGTGTATGAACAAAAACTGGTGGCGTTCAAACTAAAATATAACAAGACGAAGAAGAAATAGGAAAACAAAAGCTTTTGGGACTATGTTAATACTTTAACTTGTGGTTATATTCTATGTCTAAGTATTGTTTTTGCAAAAATCTAGCTATTGCTATGTTTTAGAGAAGACTTGGTTTTGAATATTGTAGGTTATAATGATCTTAAGGATATGGTGATGGGTAATTGTTTTTCTTCTTCTTTTTTTTTGGTTAACTATAGTTTTGGCTGTGTTTTAATAAAATTTCTATGTGATAAACTCTCTAAAATCATGAGTCTAAACAATAAATAATATATAAAAATATTATTATAATATAAAATCTTATGAATATTAAAGTAGTATGAATTTATTATTTTTAAATCATGATATTTAAATTCATATATCACATATCATATACTAATATACTGTTATAATTTGCAAACGTCTACCGAGTAACTAATAATCTAGTTGTTCGATTAATCATTCTAGTCGTCAGGCATTCAAGTCGTTAATCATTGAGTTATCCCTTAGCATTGACCTATTTTTTAACACTAAATTTTACACTCCCTTTGTATAAGATGGATACATTTATAAAAAAAAAAAATTGTTTCAAAAAAATATATTTTTTTAAAAAATTTCAATGCACATTTTTCAATCAATAATGAAAAATCGTAAATTTTAAAACATTAGTTACATTTTCTGAAGTCTTATTGATTTAGAATTATAGAAACATAAAATTACAAAAATATGTATAAATAATTAAGTCTTAATATATTTTTCTTAATAAGTGTAAATTTTTTAAAATATGTATTATTTTAAAACAGAGGGAATACATAATTTCCAAAATAGTACTCAGTTCTTTTTGAATTAGTTGTCATTTTAGAGAAAAAAATCGTTTAAAAATAAGTGTCGTTTTAGAATTTCGAGGCAAAGTTTATTAGATTTATATGATATTCTATTTTTGTATTGGTTGACAAATGGTTAAGTGTATATGTAATTGTATTTTTATCTTGAAAATATGTAAAATTAAAAGTTTTTTTAATCTGTGGAAAAATCTAGAATAACAATTAAAATGAAATAGAGAAAGTAATTGATATTTAATTTTATCTTAGCAAAAAATATATCTGATTTTTGTATACAGTGTAAAACCTCTATAAATTTCAGCCCACTAGACTTTTATTGAAACAGCCCGTTAGAGAGTATATATAATTTTACCAAAATAAAGAAAAAAAGGGAAAGGAAAATATCTAAAGCGAGAAGACCGTTTATCTCTCTCGGAGTGCCATGAATTTGAGCGTGAACAGATGCATCGCCGGTGGAGGAGGTATCATCGGTGCATTTTCGAGTTGCAGAATCAATCGTGGTACTGGTGAGTTTCTTCTTTTTATTTATTTATATTATTTAGCTTTAAAGAAAAACTGTGGAGAAACTCACAAAGCTAGAGTAATCTGGATTAGATTATTATCAATCGTACGCATAATTATTGTTACTGTTCTATTTTGAACTCCACTGGTAAATATAATCGCTCTGGGGAATCGAAACTGGGTTGCTTAATTCAATCGTGTTGTCCTTACAACCACCACATGTTAGTTATCATCTTCACGTTACCCTTAGCACTGGTTTGAAATTGACAACTGCTGCAGTGAAAACTAGTAGTCTTGTAGAGATAGTTTTGTTAACTCAGGAGCTTAAAGCCATTGTTGAGTTTGTTTTCTCTGTGGACTACAGAAAAAAGGTTGGTCAGTGTGGCCAAGCATCGTGAGGTTCAGAGAGGGAGACGTTTAGGTTCTGATGCTGTTTCTGTAGAGAAGAAAGAGAGCACAAGTGTTAAACTTGCCATGTTTGGTAGTGGTTTAGTAGGAGGTAAAACAACCCTCTTCTCAATTTCACCTATTTAGTCTTGACTCTTGAGTCAGAAATAAGAATCTATGTGTGTTTAAAAGCGTAGTTTATGAGTAAATGTATGGAAAAATTAGCAAAACATGTCTCGTAATTATGTTTTAGAACGACTGATTTTTTTGTAACATGATCATGAATTTTTTTTTCTTGGTTTTCCCAGTGGCAAACTTGGTAACTCTTAGCTCAGCAAAGGCGGCAGACTTGAAAATGGTTGTCTTGGTAAGGTTTTAATCATAGACTATCTATCATCTTCTTTTTAGATTCTTTCCGTACTTTTGTAATCTCTTCACTGGTGTCTGTTGCTGTAGACTAGTCCAGTTATTTTGTTCACATCTTAAGCCGAATTAGTTTATTGAGAAGACTTTTTTTTGTTCCTTTTGTTCTTGGTGTGCCTCGAAATACTTCTACTTTTTCGGTCATTATCTTTGCAGTTTGCTTGTCAAATCAGAAATTAATTATCCTGTTAAGACAGGATCAAGCCACTTCCGTTTACATCTTGGCTGAAGGAACGCTGGGAGATTCGCTTGGAAACTTCTTGTATTCAGCTAACCAACAAGCTAACGAAGCTGTTCAGGACCAGCTCTCAGCTCTCAGTGTAACAAGGTTTATTTCTCTGGTTCTTTCTCAATGCACACATGTATTAGAGTTTGACAATCGAGTTCTCTGACTCTCCTGCTACGTACCCTCTTGTAGTTTGGCAGTAATATTCGGGGCAGGACTTGTGACAAGTCTTTCTCCATGTACACTCAGTGTTCTGCCTTTGACACTTGGTTATATTGGTATGATAACTTATCTCAAGTTTTTGAATTTTTAGTTTGAGGTTCTAATTATTTTGTCACTGGTCCTTAAAATGGCTGTAACATTATAGGTGCATTCGGGTCTGGCAAAAGCAGAACTCAGGTTCGTGTCACTTCAGATCAGATTTCAACAATAGCTGTCGCGTTATGAGTTAGTAGGATCGATGTAATTGTAGTAGAATTAAAACATAAAAGAAGCTAAAGACGAGCTCTTTTAATCAGAGTCACATTGTCTGTAACATTTTAGCTCTCCATGGACTTAGGTTATTGGAGATGCACTTGCTTTCTCACTGGGATTAGCAACTACCTTAGCACTTCTTGGGATAGTAGCATCTTTTGCCGGAAAAGCCTATGGACAAATAGGACAAGGATTACCAGTAGCTGCATCAGGTCTGGCTATTGTAATGGGTCTCAATCTCCTTGAGGTACTTTGGTTATCATTTGCACTTTTCATTTAGCATCAGTAGCATTGCCCATGTCCAACAACAAACTCTTTTATTCTTCTCCTCTTACAGGTAATCCAACTTCAGCTTCCATCTTTCTTTGACAACTTTGATCCTCGTGCTGCAGCAGCAAACTTCCCATCTAGTAATCCTCCTAAGACAACATCTATTTTGGGGTTTGGGACTTTAAACCGTCCAGTAATCTTTTTTTTTTGTTGTTGTTTGTAACACTTTTGGTGACAATATGTTTTGTTAGGTGTACAAGCGTATCTAGCGGGTCTCACATTCGCACTTGCTGCATCACCTTGTAGTACTCCAGTACTAGCCACCCTTCTTGGCTATGTGGCTACTTCCAGGGTAATTCTGTTTTGCCTGCTTCCGTTTTAATAAGAGCTAGTATAGTTTCCTACTTGGTTATAAATGTTATGGTTGTGACATACAGGATCCAGTAATAGGCGGAAGCTTACTGTTGACGTATACAACAGGTTACGTTGCTCCACTCATCCTGGCTGCTTCTTTCGCCGGAGCTTTGCAGGTGTCACGTGTTTCTCTTACTTTTAACAACTATTCAAAATGCAAATTTTGTAGTTTAGGTTTTAAATTTTGTGAAGCATCTGCTTATTTGCCTTCTCATGAATTTCTGCAGAGTTTACTCTCGTTTCGCAAAGTGTCTGCATGGATCAATCCCATAAGGTATGTCTGCGTGTGAGGGCATTCTAAAGCCATAAGTGATTTCATATTTTGTTAATTTGTGTGTTCGATTTTCAATGTTTTTTTTCTTGTGCAGTGGTGCTCTTCTACTTGGAGGAGGTTTGTATACTTTCTTGGATAGGCTTTTCCCTGCTGCTACTATGGTCATGTAAATATTTGTTACTAAGAAGAAGAATCACTACTCATGTCTACCAAAAAAAGTATATAGTAAACAAACAATGTTTATAATGTAAAATCTGTTAAAAAAAAAAAAGTATTTGATCACACTACTTTAGTCTCTGTTTACATATTACCATTCATCTTAAACCACACGATTAGTGTGATTATAGACGGCCTAGAAAGTAGAAATATAACAATCATACACATACAAAAGTCATTTACAGATTAAGTAGTTCTACAAAAGAGTCAACATTTGCGATTGTGCCGGTGCCGTCTCTTTCTCCAGTCTTCATCAACAGCTAAGAAAAAAAAACAAGAATATTTACAAACAAGTCGCTCCATTTTCCATTTTGTTAATTTTGGCCAAAGACTCTAATCTTTGCAATCTCATCTCTTCATTGAACTTCTTGATAAACGCTTCCACACGCCGGTTCAGCTCTTCCTGACCCGGTGACGCCTCGCGCTTCAGCTCCGTAGGGGCATTTATGTCATCCAAGTTCTCAGACTTGGTCATCTTCTTCTGTTTGGCGCTCTTTTCCGACGAGCTCCGCACGTGCGACCTCTCTTGCCACGTGTCGGATTTAGTCAAGTGCTTAGTTAACGGCGTCGAGTGTCCTTCCGTTATCTTCTTCCACGTCGTCTCCAGCGTGTCCTGCCTCCTCGGTGGCTTTTTATCACCACCACCTGCAAATTTTTTTTGAAACGTTAAATTACGATTATACCCCTCAACGAAAACTCGAATCTACCTTGTGCACTCGTTTTGAGCGACTTTTGTTGACTGTATCTCGGTGGTTTCCTCGACAGCTTCACCCTCGAAGTCTCCAGCGAATCACTCGTTAATTTTGGCTTCTCCGTCGCTGGCTTATGATCATCTACATCATCAACTTTTACCTTATCACCTTCAACGACTTGAGAGAGATCCTTCACCGTCGGATCATTGTCCACAAGTTCGGTATAATCATGAGCCACATTTAAGTAACGGATGACGATATCAGAAGGTAAAGGTACTACTTCGGAGAAGTCGTTGTTGGAAGACGGTTTGTGAGTGAGCTTAGATGTAGCGACGATAGAGACGATGATGCAATTGATGACTAAGTAAAGATAGGGTGGTTTAAGGAGGAAGACTGTGTTATCGTGGATCATAGGATAGCAAGACGCCATGAAATGTGAGACTGAAGGAACGGTGAAACACACAGCCACCGCGACAGTAAAGATGCCTGCGATGATGACGGCGGCTGCCGTTTTGAAGGAAGAGGTGGGGAAAAGACGAGCCATGGTGGTGAATGGTGTCATGTAAAGTGCGGTGGTTCTCATCTTCAAAAAGAAACTGAGGTGTGTATTTATATATGATCTTTACATAAATAAATTTAAAATGTGGTCCTTATTGTGTGGGCTTTTCACAGAATCAGAAGTGGGCGATCTACATATTTTATGGTGATGGAGGCTTATCTGAGTTACACGTGGCGGTTTGGACTTTCAGGCTTCTGCTTGAAGTTAAACTTACCTAACATTACAACAAGATTTTGCAATAAAATGTGAATAAGTCATATGCCATTAAGATATAGAACTGAGAAACGAGAGAATCTATCTACTTAAGTAGATACCGGGTCTACTGATATTTAATAAATACGCTACCTTTTACGCTCTGCATTTAAAACTCATTTGATAATATAATTTTTTTTTATATTTTTCATCTTGAATTCAAGTAGCATTAACCATAGAGGTTGGAACGGATCGGATATCTGGGTTTTTCAAAGTATTTATGATTTGATTCGAATGTTACGGATATCTAATTTTCGTATTTATTTTGCTTCGAACAAATACGGATATCCGAAAAAACAGATATTCGGAAAATAAATAGATATTTGTGGATATTTACGAATATTTACGGATATTTCATCCATTTTGATTAATGAAAATAATCTTAAAATTTTGATACAAATTTTCTTTGCAAATTTTTTTTTGCATGATATATAAAATAAAAATTAAAAAACAAGTGAATTTACATATTTTGTCATTTTTTAAGTTTAAGTTACAATTATAATAACACAAAATTTAAGGAAAAAAATATAATTGTCATGAATGTTTTCTCTCTTTTTATGTAATACTTTTATATAAGTAATAATGTGAATTGTTCAAAATCATGTGCTAGAATAATAATTATATAATTTTATAAATTTAAAATATAATAGATATACATATATTTATATATTTCTGGACTGGATAGGATATCCGCTTCCCAAAATTTTTATATTTGTGATTTGCTTCGATTTTAACGGATATTAATTTTTAGTATTTTCTTTGATTCGAAAATTTACGAACATTCAGAATTTTTGGATCGAATCGAAACGAATAACGAATCAAATCAAATTTAACGGATAAAATGTCCAGCCTTAATTAACCATTGTCAACGTCTTAAAAAATTCCAAATTTCTATGAATTTTGTGGGGTTTATCTATGGTTATAAAAAAAGTGATCATGATTCTTTACTCATTTGATATGAACTATTATTTTAAACAGAACATTTTTTTTTAAATACAATTATATAATTCAAATTGGTTTAAAGCCTTTAAAACTGATTAAAATTGCTTTAAATTGACCTAAATTTGTTTAACAAAATAATAATTTAGTGAAAATCCCTACTTTTAAAAATATCTAATTTTTAGAATTCAGTATAATGATTTTATAGTTAGACACAAAAATTAAAACGTCTAATATAAATGTAAAATATGTTAGTATTCGTGCTAACGCCTAAATCTTACCTAAATTCCAAATAATTTATCTAGTCGTTAGTTCTTTTTAGAATAGTCTAGTTATTGTTTTGAAATTTCTTCAGTGTTGAATTTTTTTTATAAATTGAATTCAAATTGGAAAAAGAAAAGAGCTTAAGACCCATAACTTGTAAAAACAAAATACAAGTAACTAAGCTAATTGCAAGTCTTTAATTTCAAGATGGATGCATTTACTGTTGAGAGGTTATTTTAAGGTTTTGTAGAGGCATTCTAATTGACACTGTAAATCAATAGTTGAAAGTCAGAGTGAGAATGAGAACTGTGATATTTGTGAATGATACTTTAGATAAAAGAGTTAAAGACATGCAGATCTCAAATAAAATAATTGAGAATGGATGTATACGTTAGGCCCATCCTTAATTCTAAGTTCTAACGTTCAATTTTGTTTGCATTGCATATATTAATAGTAGATTTGATTTGACCATTCAAATCCGTGAAAGCTGTATATCTCGTTACGCGTCAACAAGCACAACAAAAATCGACCGACCGTTTTTGTATTTATGTGCTTGACACTGATTGATCTTGGTTATTTTTAATTACATAAATGAACTCAACATTTACGTCCAAAGCTCGATCCAGGACCGACATAATTTTGCATTTAATAACCAGATGTATAAACCTAAAGTTGAACTTGGTCTCATGTGTTGGATTATCATAGTATGTTTGGATTAATAGGTCGATATGGAGACATGAATGTGGTGAAGATATATAAACAAATGTAACGTACAAATTACAAGTGAAAGATCGAGTGATGACTTGAACAAATGATCACAATTTTGCACGACTACATCGAACATTTTAAACTATCGTAAATATGGAATACTTGCTAAATGGGAGTAGCACAACTATTGCGTAAAAACCTCTTTGAACTGTTTAAAAAGCGGTTTGAAATGTTAATTATTATATAAGAAATTATAAGAATCAAGTATTAGTGTATCAAATCTTATATACAATTGAAGTGGTTCACGACATCTTAAAAGAGAAAAAAGGTAAACGAAGGTTGGCGAGAGGGAGGAGATAAACAAACAAATTGTGGTGAAGGAATTTAGTCCTGAAGGAGAGGAGACTGAGCTTTAAGTCATTTGACCGAAATGCCCGAACAATGCCAAACTCAAACCTTTTGAACGCAAAAACAGCCGTCCATAACATGTTCAACATCAACACGTCCCCTTTACTTGATACTTACCAATAAAGGTAGATAGCTTTTTGTTTGAAATCAGTTTTAAACCTTTTTTTTTTTGCTTAAACAAGTCTCAAACTTCACTCAATATACAATTTGGTATAACCATTTTTTTGTCAATACAATTTGGTATAACTAAGTAAAAACTTTAAGTGTTTCTTGGATTTTTTTTCTGTTTACATGTTAGAATTTGGCCCAAATCATTTGGGTGTTAGCATTCACAGCTTAACACTGTAGTATCTTTGATATAGGGGGTGATTATCTTTAGATTTAATTTCTACTTACAATTACCAATCATGATTTAACTAGTTTTAAAGCTAATAGAAGTCCTATTATCTAAATCAAAAAATATTGTTGTACGCTACTTTCTTATTTAGTTTCTAAAGCTACACTAAACATAGTTAAATCAAAAAAAATTCTAATTTTCTATAGATACAGCCTAACCAATCCAAAATAATATGTTAAGAAAAGAACAAGACGTTGTCCAAAAAAAAAAGAAGACAATATAATTGATTTGTTTTTATTGTATACATTGAAAACAACCATATTATACAATATGGATAAAATCTTCTCTTTCTTCTCAAGAATCAAATCCGAGACTACAACAAAGTTTCAATGAAAGAAAATTGTTTAACAGAAAACTGTTCAGATATGAATTGTATATATCTTTTTAATTCTTCAAATTTTAAGACAGGCGAATTCCGAAAAAGTCCCTCTCTTGATCAATGTTTTGTGAACATTCCATCCATCAAGGAAGAGAAATCAAAATCTTTGCCTGTTTGAGAAGATGGTGTAGTGCTCGTGGCCGAGGATGATGACTGAGGTTTACCCGTTGTGTTTGGGGTCATTCCATTAGCCGCAGGATTAACTTGATAGAAACTGCATTAGTTACACAAAAACAACCATCAGATCTTATTTCCGACAATATACTTCCACAGATGTCACATATTGATAACCGTGGGAGCTCATAAAACAAGGAAGCACCACAAGTCCGGCTATATCAGAGAACATTAAATCTTTTGAGTTCAAAGGTGAACGCAGATTTAATGAGAGGGGTACAGTTCACTTATCGTTATAGATGATAAAACCAGAAAGCAGTGTTATGCACATACCTAGATACTGGATATTGAGGAGTGCTCGCTTGCGGTTGTGCAGGTCCCATGTTCATGTTTGCGTTCATGTTCATGTTCTAAAGTTATGGCGATATATAGCAAAAGGAGTAAGACTCGAAGAAAATTTTGCGAGAACTTGGTCAACGAGTAATTTAGATCTAAGATAAAACAAAAGCCAAAAGAGAGATGCTTACTTGCATAAGTTTCTGGAGATCAGCTTGGCCACCTCCTGGGTTAGTCATTCCAGGGACCTGGTAGCCAGTGTTTGACCAATTTGCGGATGCTAAGTTAAGAGCATTAGCAACAACTTGCTGATTCACACCGTTTGGATTTCCACCAGCAGCTTTTGCTGCTGCCATGTATAGGGCTTGTTGCTGAGCAAGCATCGCAACCTGTTGCTGATGCATGGCAAAAGGCGACACTATATTCGTCTGTTACAAATGAAAGACCCAAGAGTTATATAACTTGATACTGGTCTGGAAATTTTCAAGGGATAACAAGACACAACGCATAGGTTTGTGTTGGATGTATGAGTCACGCTATACAGAAAGGAAATTTGGAAAAGTGAGAATCTGTAGAAAGGTAAACTCAACAAAGCAGTAGATATGAAAAGAGTATACAACTAACTTCAGAATTTTACCAAAAAAAAATTAACTTCAGAATTTACCTTCTCAAATAGGCTCATGATATCGCCTTTCACATCTTTCTGTGGTGCTTGTTGGGCTACTAAAGTAGGTGTGTCTTTGAACAAATCCTCGATGCCAGTAGCTGGAGGAGAACTGCTCTCATCAGGCTTTGCTGTAACACTTTTCTCTGCCGTTTGACCATTTCCAGCAGCTGCAATTTTAGGATTATTATTAATAGACTACTCTAGAGCATTTTCTGGAGAAGAAAGAGTAACATAAAGTTTACAGTGATTAATATGCCACAATGACCATGATTAGAGTCATGCACATGCTAGAATAGATACATACACTGAAAGCCAGCCCAATTATCATCAGCAGAAGCTGCCTCTGAGGTATTTGCAGCCGGCTCATCCATTGATAGCATGTTAAAGAGATCCGTAGCAAAATCCACCTTTGGAGGTTCTGATGCCGGTGCAACATTTACTGCTGGTTTCGTCTCCACAGGAGCGGCTACAGATTCTACTTTCTGCTGTGGCTTTATAACCTATCATTTTTTAGCATCATGTATCAGAAAAACCAGGCTACAGATACTTTTATCAAAATT